CTGCAGCATTATTTATAATACTAAAAGCTTGCAGGTGCAGTGGTGCATACCTACAATCCCAGGGTCTTTGGAGTCTGAGGCAGGAAGATCTCAACTTTAAGGCCAACCTCAGTAATTTATCAAGGCTCTAAGCAACTTAGTGAGACCCTATCTCAAAATAAAAAACAAAAAAGGGCTGGGAGCCAGGTGTGGTGGTAATTCCAGCAACTCAGGAGGCTGAGGCAGGAGGACTGCATGAAGCCAGGCCCAGCAGATTAGTAAGGCACTCAGCAACTCTAAATAAAATATAAAAAAGGGCTGGGGATGTGGCTCAGTGGTTAAGCACCCCTGGGTTCAATCTCTAGTACCATTTTTTTTTTAAAGGGAGGGGTGGTCTGGGAATGTAGTTCAGTGGTTAAGTACCTCTAGGTTCAATCCCTGGTACCAAAAAAAAACAAATAACAATAGTAATAATAATAAAAACTTGAAAATAATCTTTTTTTACATATTGTTATTAGTTATTGATGGATCTTTGTTTATTTCTGACACTGAGAATTGAACCCAGTGCCTCACACATGCTAGGCAAGTACTCTACCTCAGAGCCACAACCCTATACCTTGAAAATAATCTTAATATCTAAAATCAGAGATTAGGCAAATTATCAATTCTGCACCCATATGATAAAATAGTATATACACATTTAAAACATATCAGTAAACAATTCTTAAAAGAGAGATAGCCAGGCATGACGGCACATGCCTATAATTCAGAGACTCAGGAGGCTGAGGCAAAAGGATCACAAGTTCAAGGCTAGTCTCAGCAACTTAGCAAGATCTTAAGCAACTTAGAGACACTGTTATCAAAATTTTAAAAATAAATAAAACAAAAAGAACTGGGAAATTAGTTCGGTAACTAAGTGCCCCTGGGTTCAATCCTTAGCACCAAAAGCTAAAATGAAATAAAATAAAAACAGGAAAAATGCATATCTTCCTGAGTGTGAAAAGTTTTAATTTTATATATAGACAAACCTGAGCCAGGTGCAAAGAGGCACATACCTGTAATCTAGGCAGCTCCGGAGGCTGAGACAGGAGGATCACAAGTTTAAAACCAGCCTCAGCAACTTAGCAAGGCTCTAAACAACTCAGTGAGACCCTGTATCAAAATAAAATGAAGAGCTGGGATGTGGTTCAGTGGTTAAGCACCACCCATGGGTTCAATCCCTGCTTTCAGAAAGCAAAGAAAAACCTGAAAAAATATACCCTAAATTTTGGGTTACATCCCTGGACAAATTTACCTATTTTTTGAATTTAATATTCCCCAAAAGGGACTATATATCTCCATTGTCACATTGAACATTAGCTATACTCCCAACTTCTCCTAATGTCATTGTCTGTGATTTTGCATTTATAAATGGGTCTGACATTTTTAATCCCTTTGGACTTCTGGTTAGTAATGTCTCATTATTACTTTTTTGAACTAATAGAGATTCAGAGAAGGTTGCAAGAAATGTATAGAGAAGTTCTATGCACTCTTTCCTTACTGTCCACCAATGTTAGCATCTTATACAGGTTGAATACACCTTTTCCAAAATTCTTGGGACCAGAAGAAGTGTTTCAGATTTAGAATTTTTTTCAGATGTTGGAATATTTGAATATACATAATGAGATATCTTGGAGATGGAACCCAAGTCTAAACATGAAATTCATTTATGTTTCATACATACCTTATACATATGGCCTAAAGGTAATTGTATGTTTGGTATGCCTACATTTTGACTATAACCCATCACAGGTGGTCAGGTGTAGAATTTTCCACTTGTGGAATCATATTGGTACTCAAAAAGTTTTGGATTCTAGAGTATTTCAGATTTTACATATTAAGACTAGGGATGCTCAATCTGTACAACTTTAATACAATATTGTTTTAGCTTTTTTGCTGCTGTGACTAAAAGATCTGACCAGAACAATTTTAGAGGAGGAAAAGTTTATTAGAGGGCTCACAGTTTCAGAGGTCTTGGTCTATAGATACCTGGCTCCATTCCTTGGGGCCCAGGGTGAGGCAGAACATCATGGCAGAAGACTGTAGCAAAGAGATGTGGCTCCTGTGATAATCAGAAAGCAGAGAGAGAGACTCCACTCACCAGATAACAAATATATACCCCAAAGGTGTGCCCCCAGGGACCCACCTTCTCCAGCTACACCCTACCAGCCTTCAGTCACCACTCAGTTAATCCCATCAGGGAATTGATTCATTAATTAGGTTATGAGAGCCTTAACCCAATCATTTCATCTCTACATCTTCTTGCATTGTCTCACATATGAGTTTTTGGGGGAACACCTCACATATAAATCATAACAAATATCAAAACCAAGAAATTTACATTAGTAGAATCCAAAGGGCTTATTCAGATTTCACCAGTAATATATCATTTGTGTGTGCATGTGTGGGTGAGTAATTTTATCACATGTGTAGCCTTGCATAACCACTACCACAATAAAGACAGAACATTTCCATCGCAAGGATCCCTCAGGTTGCCCTTTCATAATCACACCTCCCTCCCACTCTGCTTCCCTAACCCCTAGAACCCACTAGTCATTCCTCCTTCTCTATAATTTTGTCATTTCAGGAATGTTACATAAATGGAATCACACAGTGCATTACCTTTGGGGATTGGCCTTTTCTTTTTTGTTCTGTTTTGTTTTTGCATTAATGGGGATTGAACTTGGGGTCACTCTGCCACTAAACTACACCTCCAGTCCTTTTTATTTTGAGACAGGGTATTGCTAAGTAGTCCAAGCTGCCCTAGAACTTGAGATCCTCCTGCCTCAGCCTCCCCAAATGCTGGGATTAGAGACATGTGCCACTACACCCAGCTGGCCATTTTTTGTTTGTTTTTATTCAGCATAATTTTCTGGAGATTGATCTATGCTGTCACATTTATCAAGAGTTCATTGTTTTTTCTTGTTGAGTAATATTGTATGGGGATGTGCCACAGTTTATTTAACCATTCGTCTGTTGAAGAACATCTGGATTATTTTCAGGTTTTGTTTTATTGTAAAATAAAATCTCTCTATATATTTGTTTAATCTTACTTTTTAAAAGTCTTCAATTTATGTCACCCAATAACCCTAGAAAGTCTCATCTTCCTATATATCAGGACTTGATAAAAAAAAATCCATGCTTAACATCACTCATATGGCATGAGTTTATGTTTTGTTTGGGGGGAACTGGGGATTGAACCCAGGTGCAATTAACCACTGAGATAAGACCCCACCCTTTTAATTTATTTTTTATTATGAGACAGAGTCCTGCTAAATTGCTGAGGCTAGCCTTGAATTTGAGATTCTCCTGCTTCAGCCTCCTAAGTCTCTGGAATTACAGGCACATGTCAACATACCTGGTTCATAGGCATGGTTTTAAGAGAAACAAGCTAGATTAATAATATGTAGTTAAACTGCACTTTCTGGGATATACACACATGTGTATATATGTATATATATTTAGTAAGAATATATACATATATATGTATTTATTTGTCTGTCTCTGTCCCTAGACTATGAACTACAAGTGTCCCTAGACTATGAACTACATGGAACAAGGACCATGATTGAATTGCCCATACTTATAACTGGGCACAGGGCCTGGTATAGACATTTAGAAAATGTTAGAATCTCAGCTGGTGTAGGGGTGCATGCTTTTAATCCCAGTAACTCTGGAGGCTGAGATAGGAGGATCGCAAATTCAAAGCCAGCCTCAGCAATTTAGTGAAGCCCTAAGCAATTTAGCCAGACTCTGTCTCAAAAGATAAAAAAGGGCTGGGGATATACTTCAGGAATCAAGTGCCCCTGGGTCAAATCCTCAGTTCAAAAAAAAAAAAGTTAGAATCTGATCTCTAAGATTAGATGAGGCCCAGAAATAGATGTTTTATAAGAAGCTTCACATATTACATGGGCAGTCAGGGTTAGGAACTACTATTTAGTGAAGCAATGAATATGTAAAGGGAAAGAAGGAAAACTCCTGGTAGGAAAGGGCAAACTCGGAACAAAGGGAATACTGATGTTCTATTATCTGTCTTCACTTCAAGGAGATCAGAGAATGAGATCTCTGTGTTCAGAGTAACCTCTAGACTGCATGGTAGGAAATCCATTATTTCCAATGTTGTGTTCGAGAAGTGCTATTATTAAATCCATAGATGTCTGAGGCAAAGAAAAAACAGCTTTCTCCTGCTCTATGAAGTTTACCCATTTGAAAGGCTTTCCCACACATCTTTTGAGCCCCAGACACCTCCCAGATTTTAATGGAAAAAGCAATAGGTAGATTGGAAATGTAGATCAGTGATTTGCATGTACAAAGCCTTTTATCACCAGCATCATCCCCCCCAAAGGCAACTGATGATAAGGATTATCTGGAGTTTCTAATTTGTTTATGTGGCATAATTATATGTATCAGAGCTTTGGAGAAGAGGAACAATATAGCTCCTTATATTACTGGATCACCTGAATAACAGCCTGAAACTATGCCTTGACAAATGTCAATTCTACCAGACCTCAAACAAATATGTTACACATATAAAAATCACAGCAGGTATGGGGCATAGTCTGGGGAAAGATTACTGAATGGCTAAGGCCTAACATTTAAAGACATTTGGAAAATTCAGCAGATACAACAGGAGCTGTTTGAAGGAGTGTTCAAAGCTTGTAAAACAGTCAATGAACTGACTCAGGGTGGGTGAAAATTAGCCCATATGCTAGAAAGGGCTGGGCAAAGGGCTGTGGAATTGAAGAGAGAAGAGAAGGCAGGTACAAAATGCCAAGTCTTAGGCACAGAGTATCAAAATAAAATTGTCCTTGCTGGGGGACCTTGTCCAAAAATAAAACAAACATTTTTCTTTTTGGTACTGGGGATCTAACCCAAGGGTACTTAACCACTGAGCTACATCCCCCAGCCCTTTTTAGTTTTAATTTTGATAGAGGGACTCACTGTTACTGCGGCTGGCTTTGAACTTGCAATCCTCCTGCCTCAGCTGCCCAAACTGCTGGGATTACAGACCTGTGCCACTGTGCCTGGCAACAAATGAGTTTTCAATGGGCAACTTCTCTTGTGTGCCCTTCTTCTTACTTGAATCATCTGGGTGTAAGGAAAAGAATCGAATGAACAAAATAAGGAGAGGGGAGAGGCAGCTCAAAAGTAACAATGGTTTATTTGGGACAAACCTGTGGAGGGGGACATGTAGAGACTGAAAACCATCCTTACCTTAGAGCTTGGAGCACATATGCGGGGAATTTTGCAGTTGGGCCATTTAGAGAAGGGTCCTTTCAGGTGTCTTCAGAATTTCAGTCCCATGGGGTCACGGTGGTGCATGCCTGTCTGTAATCCTAGTGTCTTGGGAGGCTGAGGCAGGACAAGGGTGAATTCAAATCCAACATCAGCAAAAGTTAGGCACTAAGCAATTCAGTGAGACCCTGTCTCTAATTAAAATACAAAATAGGGCTGGGGATGTGGCTCAGTGGTCCAGTGCCCCTCAGTTCAATCCTGTACCCACCCCCCACCCCCCCCAAAAAATAAGAATTTCAGTCCCAGAAAACAATTTCCTTTCTGAGGATGATGGGAGTGTTTGGGGGTTCTTTGCTTGATAATGGGGTTGAGGTCAGGGAGTCAGAGTGACTTTGAGATGATTCTTCTAATATGGAGTATACATTTCAAAATGGCACTGCCTATGTCAAATTCTTCCCAAGACTGGAGATTGTCAAATTGCTTGGAACAGGATTCTGTTTCAACATGTTCTGTACACTACCCCTGAGGCCTTTAAAATTAGGGCTAAAGGACTGGGGTTGTGGCTCAGTGGTAGAGCACTTGCCCAGCATGTGTGTGGCACTAGGCTCAATTCTCAGCACTGCATATAAATAAATTAATCAAGGTCCACCAACAATTTTTTTTTAAATTAGAGCTGGGGCCAGGCACAGTGACACATGCTGTTAATCCCAGTGACTCAGAAGGCTGAGACAGGAGGATCCTAAATTCAAAGCCAGCCTCAGCAACTTTGGGGGCGGGGCGGGGTCTGAGCAACTTAGCCAGACCCTGTCTCAAAATAAAAATAAAAAGGGCTGAGGATGTGGCTCAGTGGTTAAGTGACCCTGGGTTCAATCTCTAGTACCAAAAAAAAAAAGTAGATAATTGTAGAAAACATACTCAGGTATGGGGTGCATGGGAGGAGGGGACCATAGGCCTGGGCTGATTGAGGAAAGGGTATCTCCATTATGCTGCAGAGTTTAACTATAGGCTCAGCAGGGAGAGTGAGAAGGTAGTCTAACAGTTTATGCTTCGAATATAACCCTTGCTGCTCTGCCCAAATTAACAAATGAATTACAACTCTGACAGAGAATATTGCCTTTGAATCATTTCTTTAAAAGCTCCCTATTGGCTGGAGATGTGGCTCAGCGGTAGCTCGCCTGGCATGCGTGCGGCCCGGGTTCGATCCTCAGCACCACATACCAACAAAGATGTTGTGTCCGCCGAGAACTAAAAAATAAATATTAA